ATGTATTGCTTGGAAGGGTCCCCAAGTGTTTCACACAGAGGACAAGGGCATTGGGAAAAGACCTGAGGGGCTGAGTAGCCAGGGGCTTTACTAGCAAGCCTGTCACTCACATGGACCCAGATGTGTTTCTAGAAGGCCCTTTGAGGCGATCCCTATCATCAAGTTCAGCAACAGCTGCACCAGCACTGTCATCCCAGCAACAGAAGTGGACCAGGCCCATACTTGTAACTTACCAACTCACTCTCCTTCTCACTACTGTAGACTCGGTGATTACCCGCACTCGACAGATAAGCACCCAGGCCGAGAGAAGTGAAATGACTTGTCCAGGGTCACCCAGCAAGAGAGCTGCCTGAATCCAGACAAGTCTTCCCCACATCAAAGGCTGTCAGGCAACACACACCCAGATGATATTGCAATACTCTCCAGTTTGTGCAGGGCTCCTCTGTGTAACCAACACTCTTTTCACATGGTCTCCTTAGGCAGACATTGAACTGTTTCATAGCCAGAAAATTTGTTGGGAGAACATGGGTTAGTCACCAGTGAGAGTCAGGGGCAGTCTACTGACTGTCCCCTCATCCTGTGGGTCAGGGAAAACCACAGGTGGAGAAGGCAAGCCAGAACACTAGGAGACCCTGCTGGGTGCAAGCAGGAAGAAGTTTTGCTCGAAGTGGGGCAGTGGCTGTCTTAAAATGGCAACCAAGGTTGCTGTGCAAGCCTTGTCCACTTGGGGTGGCCAGGCTCTATGGTTGTTCTTGTCGTTCTCAGGGAATCCCAGGGGAGGCAATGGGCTCAGGCAACGTGTGCAGACCCCATCCCTACTGTAAGCATGCCTGTCCTCCCTGCCCAGGTCCAGATTCCCAGAGATGTGTGGGCCAACCTGTGGGCTTTGGACTTTGATGGCAATGTGGCCATTGCATGACCCCCGTTAACAAGGCAAAGGTTGGGGGGGGGTATGTTTTGGAAGTCACCTCCAAGCCAGCTCCTTGCCTGACCCAACCATGTAAATTCCACCAACATCCAGGAGATAAAAGGGGAGCATCCATCAGAGGCAGCATACAAAGGCCTTCAAAGAACATGTTCAGTCAAAAAAAAAAAAAAAAAAAAAAAAAAAAAAGGATTGTGGCCTGACGCTCAGGGGGAAATACACTTAAACACACTTGTGTGTATGCCCCCCCCACACACACAGCAGATGTATGTTCTCTTTTCTTATCTCGAATCTCAGCCCGACTCTTGGCCTGGTCTGCTTTCCCAGCTCTAGGACGCCAGGCTCAGGCCCGAGCCCCTCAGTTTCCTTCCTGGCCTTTCTGGATGCAAGGGCCCTGCAGTTGTTGCCCAGCCTGGGAGCCAGATCCTGCCTTCAGCTTCTTGTCCTCATCCATTCTGTACTACTCCATGATTCCATCACCTAGAGCAGAATGGAGGCCAGTTAAAGAAAGTCACAGGATCTGGAGCAGGACAGAAACACCTGGTACCCATGGCTGGGAAGCCATGGAGCTCCCTGGCTGAGCCCTTCACAGTTAAGGAACCCATTCCTGTCAAAGAAAACTTGCCACGATGAGGTTGGGGCTCAGCTATGAGAAGATCCGGATTTCCCATGCACTGCTGCCTTCCGTGGAGAACGTAGCACTTCACACCACCACGAGGCCTCAGACGGGCTGCGGTGTGCCCTTGTTCCCCTCAGCCTCCCGCCCTAGCCATTGTAGCATTTGTGCAGTTCCAACCCCCTTGCTTGTTAGTGTGTCTTCCTGGCCCATTACCACCTCGTCTGAAGGCTGCTTTATAGCATAATGTCTTTTTAACTAAGGTAAAAGAAAAGGAACACACATCTTTTGGAATAATCTGATCCCACGTGATTGTGGCTGGCACCCCGGGGTGCGCTGAAGCCAAGGTGGATAATTACTCTTCTATACTGAGTCAATTACATTTAAAAAAAAACAGCCATCACCAAACCTCTTGCTGGTTTTTTGTAGCTTTCTGCTGCCTCTTCTGTCTCCCCTGCCCCCAAACTATTTCAGCCTGGGGAGAAAGGAATGAGAGAGAGTGGGTGAGACCACAGGATCAGCCTTGCCAGCCGCAGTCAGTTTTCTATGTGTGGTCCGATTTGGGGAAGTTTGTAATTCTCCAGAAGTGGCCTGCATGTGCTGGGGGCATGCTGTCTCCACCTACACAGGTGGAGGGAGGAAGGATGTAGCCATTTTCAGTTCTCTGTCCATATGGACATATGGGTTATTTTGGCATTCATAATATCCTTGTTGGCCAACATGAATACACTTGCAGAATGATTTCCAAATTGTTATCCCGAGTTTGCCCCCTTTTAGAGGAAAGCTGAGTGTGGAAAAAACAATTCAGGGTCGCTGTGATTTCCTTTGGTCAGTTGATTTGAAGTTCTGAAAAAAGACATCGCCAGAGAAAGGAACAGGTGCTGAGTTTACCTCTTGCCTGTTTTGTCATCTTAATCTTTGTAAAAATTTTAATTAGTGGCGTGTGTGTGTGTGTGTGTGTGTGTCTGTGTATGTGTGTGCAAAATGTGTACACATGCATACACATGTGCAGTTGCACACACATGTGCATATGTGGTGTATTCATGAGTATGCAGCTGAGTGTGGTAGTGTGTGCACATGTGAAGGTCAAAAGATGACACTGGCATCTTCTTGTGTCATTCTCCCCTTGTTGCCTTGAGAAAGGCTTTCTCACTGCACTGGAAGCTTGCTGTTTGTTCTCAGTGAGCTCCTGGGATCCAGCTGTCCTGGTGGCCACTCCCATCAATGCTGGGATTACAGGAATGTCTGGCTCTTTATGTGGGTGCTATGGATTTAAACCTGGCTCCCCAACTTGCACAGCACAGCACAGCACAGCAAGCACTCTTACCACTGAATCACTTCTCCAGCCTGTCTTAATCCCACCCACTCTCTCTCTCTCTCTCTCTCTCTCTCTGTGTGTGTGTGGGGGGGTGGGTGGGTGGGTGAGTGGGTGGGTGTAGAGGTCAGCTTCAAGTATCATTCCTCATGCTGTTCACCTTGATATTTTGAGGCAGTGTCTCTCATTAGTTTGGAACTTACAGAATAGGCTAACCTGTCCAGTCAGTGGCTGCAGGTGCACTGGGTACCAGGGATCAAACTCAGACCACCACATTTGCACAGAAGCACGTTGTTGGCTGAGCCAACCCACCAGTCCCTTGTTGTCTTCGTGTTTACTTCAGTTCCTTTATTCCAATTACTCTAACTCTTAACCCCTCTTTCACCTTGGGTCTCAGGCAGGGCTATGTTCCTATTCTACAGCAAACCATACCCGCAGGCACAGCATTGCACCTGCAGACCCTTGAGGCTGCCTTTGTCGCCTTGCGGTTGGCTCACAAGCTGAATTCAAGTCAGTGCCACTGTCACTGAGGGGCTGAGGCTTTGAAATGCCCGAGAAAGCCTCTAAAGAGTTCCCCAAATGAAGATGCTGACAATCTAATCAAGCCCTACTCTGTCACCCAAGGGCTGATTCACTTGGTGGCAGTCATCAACACTCTCACAGAAATATGGAATGAGCCAACCACTCACATTTCCCCTTCTTCATTAAAATCCTCTTTCACCTGCACTCCAGTTTCTTGGAAGGACAGCTTTACTTGATTAGTGTCTAAGTTTGCTAACCTGTGCTGGGTCATGAACTGAGAATGCAAGGCTGGCATGAAGATGTTGAAAGTGGAACTTGATGATAGATTTACCCTTTCCAAACACGAGTTCCATCAGCTTCTATGTGAGGTACGTCCCTCACCGCTGTGACCAAGGCCTGAAAGCAGCAACCTGAAGGAGCAGAGGTTCATTTCGGTTCCCAGTTCAGAGGAAGCAATCACCATGGTGAGGGAAAGCATGGTTGCTGAAGCCTCTGTCCATGGCTGCATGAATGTTGCAGTGAGACTATTCTTCAAGTCTCTATGAATCAGAATGTGTGAGACAATGTCCCAGGCTGCCAGCCTACAACCCCAAAGCTCCACCATTCTGGCGTGGTGTTTTTATCTAGGCCCCAAAGGTTCCAAAATGTTTTTAAACCCCCATAAACCACAAGAGACCACATGTTCAAACATGGGAGCACATAGGGGATATTTCACATCCAAAGCAAAGCAGCACCCTCCTTTCTTGCAATAGTTTACTACTAGTCATCAGATATGTGTGCACATATATGCATGCTCCATGTACCCATAACTACTCAGGACTAATGGACTTGTGGAACTCACTTTTCTTACTGCTTTTGATGAAATATGTGAAATATAAATATATCCCCTGGTTGTGGGAGGTAACTCTTATCTATTCACTCTTAAATATTCAAATATAGGTTATTATCACTTGTTATAAATATAGAATCATATGTAAGACCACAAAGAATCTGACCCTGGGGTCTGGAGAGAGACTCAGGAGTTCACATTTTAATTGGTCCAGCGGGTGCTACAGAAAGATATAGGTGACCCCATATGCTGCATGTTGAGCGTTATGTTAGAGAATCGCTATGAAGAATAGGACACTCTCTTGCCTGTACATTCTTGCTTCGTGGATGAGGCTGTGGAATCCTAGGCAAGCACAGTGACTTAGTGTGATTGGTTCTTAGAGTGTGGGCTAGAACTGAGTCCTGGCTCTGGGCTTTCACACAGCCTCAGGTATTGGATTATAGACAATAGGAAAGGGCTTCATTTCAACAGGATGGATTTAAATTAGATCCAAGGAAGAATTTCTGACAGAGAAGAATACCGGGAAAGCTTGCCCAGAAGGTCTCTTCTCCTGGAACTTTTGGAAATTGTTTCTGAGAGGTCTTGCTTGTAAATTACCTAAGTAGTCAGAGGGGTCTAACAATAAGTAGACATGCGTCACAGCTTCAGTGCAGGTCCTTCTGAGAGTTTTGGTTTAGATCTGGACTGAGGCAAGAAGCCTGACCAGAATAACATCTCCTCAGCAGGAACAGCCTGTGGCCACTGGTCCCCTGTGCCCTGCCTCCTGTGACAGTCTCTCTCTGTGTCCTTTCAGAAAGCTGATCTGGCTGTGGCAGGCCTCACCATCACAGCTGAACGTGAGAAAGTGATTGATTTCTCGAAGCCATTCATGACGCTGGGAATTAGTATTCTTTACAGAGTTCATATGGTAAGAGACTTATTTTATAAGCATTTATGCCATTAAAGTTATTTGCATGCAAACACCGAGTTATATGGTAATAATGAATGACTCACAGAAATATTTAGATTTCGAGACTTCAATGCAAATGTGCTGGGCTATTTTTTCCTCATCAGCTGCGAGAACTTACAAACAGAAGAAATGGAAAAGTCGCACTTGGGAGCTTTCCAGCAAAGATGGGTTTTGTCTCTAAATAGAGATGACACACTTGGTACATAGTGTGTCAGGGGCTGGCCTCAGTCATGCTCTTCCAGGAGGCAGGGACCAAAGCTTAGATAACTTCACCAGCATGCATGCTCAGGGCTCGCCTTCCTCCAGGTGCTTTTTGGTGCTGGTGACTATAAATTGGAGATCTATTTCTGCTAATACTGTCCACCTACATTCCTTTATTTTTTAGAGGATTTTTTTTTCTGGCTATGACAAGCATCAAAATGAATACATAGGAACATACCAGTAGTCAGTCAAAGATGGACATGACATCTGAATGTTTTGGCTGGTGGAAAGAGCAGGAGTTGCTCTAGCTGTTTGTCATCAATCAAATTGATCGTCGTTCTGTGGCCAGCCAATGGAAACCTCCTTTCTTCCATTATTAGGCCAGAAGATTCTTCTTCTCCCCCTTCATCTAAACTACCTCTAGGTGTACAGCTGTCATATAGATCTCCCTGTATTCTAGTCCCTTTCAGTAGCCATAATTTAACTGTCACACATATTCCATGTAACCTGACACCATGAGGCACAATGACAATGGCTCTCATTTATTGAGTACCACTGTGTCCCAGACACTACCACATGACTGTGAAGTAGATTCTACATTGGGAGTGAATTGTGTCCCTACAAAATGCGTGCTGAAGTCCTGAGCCCCAGGATCTACACAAGCAGCCTTTCTTGGAAACAGAGTCCTTTCCAATGCTATGAAAAGTTAAAATTAAAGTCTACCAGGAGAGAAACCCAGAGGCCTCCCACACGCCCTCCAAGTCTGGCTCTCAGAGGAGGAGACCCCATGTGTTTTTGCAGCTCCAGCCGGGCTTGCAACTGACTTTGGAAGAGAAACAACAGTTTGCCAGTCAGCATATTTGTCCTATATGCAAATCGGAATCCCCTGGGAATCAAAGAGGGCCTGCATTCAGAGCTGTGGCTAGGTTTCTACAGGACAGAAACCCCCATGTTGCAGCGCTCATCCAGCAGGCTTGACTTATCAGAGCTACACTGTTTTCTGCTGGCTACCTGCCTGGGAAAGATGGCCAGAGCATCTAGAAGAAGAGATAAAAGTCAGAATGTTAAGCTCTACAGACAGAGACAGAGGCAGTGAGGAGTTCTTACAGTTGGTGACTCTATGACTTGTGGAGTAAGGAGGCTGTGACCCTCTGAGCCTGTGTCCTTCCTTGTCTTATTGATATGAAAACTCCCATTTACTGAGAGTCTTTATGCCCCAGACTTGTGGGTAGCTGTTTTGTGGGCTCTAGTTTGGTATTGAATTGTGTACTCTTCAAAGTATGCATTGAAGACCTAATTCCTGAGACCCATGCACATGATCTCACTGGGAAATAAGTTCTTGCCAATGTTATAAAGAGGTAAGAGAAAGTCATGCTGGATTCAGTTAGGTCTTTATCCAACAGTGGGAGAGGCAGAGACCTCTGTGAGTTGAAGCCTGATCCTCTCTACCTAGCAAGTTCCAGGCTAGTCAAACTTACCCAATGAGACCTTGTCTCAAAAACACTTCATTTAAAAAAAAAAAAAAAAAAAAAGATTTGGACACAGATGCATGGGGAGAAGACCATGTGGAATCAAGCAGAGAAATTTCATGCATCTCCATGCCAACAAGCATCAGCGATCTCTAGCAACCACACAAGTTAGGAGAAATGAAAACCCTCTCCTGGGGGCCTCGGAGAGAGCTAGACTCTGCTGTCACATCAATGGGCTTTCCATCCTCAGTAACTGGGAGATGACACATTTCTGTTATTTTAAGTATCCTGGTTGTGGACTATGTCTTGACCACCCTAGGAAACTAACATGGTTGTGCTGTGCTTATTTTAGGAGCGAGGACACAAGTATGATCAGTTTTAAAAGCAGGTCAAGGGCACAAGCCAGCAGCTCACACATGCTAATCACATGTTAACAAGTCAAAGAGGAAGGTGTGATTTTAGCCTTGCTCACTTTGTATAACCAGCCTGTTTCGGTCTTTATAATTTGTCCTGTAGGCTGCCTTCTCTCTTTCCCATTGTGTCCTCTGGATTGTTCTCTAAGGGAAAGTGGGTTGCTACTGACATCCCATCTCACAGAGCAGGAGACCAAACCCACACTTGCAGCTATCTCAGGGAAAAGCTTGGAACCCATCATTCCAGGATGGGATTTTTGACTTCCATCAAGTCCCATGTCTCCAGCTCCCTCTTTCTTTCTCTCTAGAACCCCAAGAGGGTTTCCAAAAGGAATGGGGACATACAGCCTTTCTCCATACTACCCTGCTCTGGCCAGCTATAGAAACACAGTCAGGCTGTGGCCTTGATTTCCCAATTAATGCTGAGGAAGCTAGAACCCTGGTGCCGACCCTATTGGCAGCCTTGTGGCTAGAGGCACCCAACCCCAGGTGTTTTCCACTCTCTAGTACTCATGACTGAGTTGCTCTGCACAAGGCACCACAGCATCAAACAGCAGCTCTGTGGACTTCCTAAATGATATTGTCAACCAACTATTTATTACCACCTACCACACAAATCTGTGGCTGTTTTTGTCCCCCGAATCACCTCCTGGTACATTAAGTCTTGTGTGTCAGCTTGCAAGGCTAGAACTTCTCCAGATATGTGGGCCACTATTAGTCCAGGCATTTCTGGAAAGGTATTTTGGAGGTGTGGTGACATATGTAATTGACTCTTTGGCATAGAGACACCTCCCTCCAATCTTTGCCTTTGAATCCATTCAGCCTCTCCCCAGGGTCTATGTCCATATTTTCTTTTCTTTCTTTCTTTCTTTCTTTCTTTCTTTCTTTCTTTCTTTCTTTCTTTCTTTTTTTTTTTTAATAAGGATATTCATCATTGGGACTTGGCTCATCTGAATCCAGTATGATTTTAACTCTCCATAACATTGGCAAGGACTATATTTTCAAATAAGGTTGCACAAGTCATGGGAGTTAGAACTTAACATATATTTTGAGAGGGACAAGGGCAGACTACAAGAATGTGAGTGGGCCTCTTTTAATTAGTTTAATGCTACTAGAGCAGAGAGAGGCTTTCTAAAAAAGGTATTCTGCTCCAGACCATAGCAGAGATCTATCTAAGATCTTTTGGACTTACAAACGTCTACAGTTATGTAGTTAAATACATGAGCCAATACCTTAATATCAATCTAAATATGATAGATATGCAGATGAATAGATAGGTAAATTGATAGATCAATCCATAGATAAATAGATGATAATAGACAGATGACAGATAATAGGTAGATACATTAATTTACATATACATTATGAGTAGACAGACACACAGACAGACAGAAAGGAGCTGAGAGTTCTACATCAGGATCAGCAGGCAGCAGATAAAAGAATGAGGTACTGGGCCTGGCTTGAGCATTTGAAACCCCAAAAACCTAGCCTCAGTGACATATTTCTTCCAACAAGACCACACCTACTCCAAAAAGATCACACACACTCCAACAAGACCAAGACCATACCTCTCAATCCCTGTCAAGTAGTGCTACTCCCTAGTGGCCAAGCATTCAAATATATGGGCCTATGGGGGCCATTCCTATTCAAATCACCACATAGATATACAGAAAATTGATAGATAGGTGATAGGTATGTAGATAGATAGATAATATGACATAATATAGCTATAGACATATATAAATATGGATATACCTATACCTTCCATCATTACTGTTTCTCTGGAGAACCCTGACTGACCGATACAGTCTCCCAGGCTAGTGTAGAATTCCTCCTCTTTCCAACCCCACTGTGGAGGCACCAGTATGCCACCCAGCTGCTCAGAGCTAATTTATATTGAGGCTGAACTCAGTGAAGAATGAATTCTGGCATGAGCAACTTACACTGAGCAGACCTGACAGCTTATGCATTTATTCAACAAATATTTACCGAGTGCATTCTGTGTGCTTAGAAAATACCAGAAACTCAATTGGTGAGAGAACATTCCTGAATTGGCTGAAGCAAAGGAGACCTAGTAAGCAGTGTCTGCAGTGAGCACAGCTGTTTGAGAACTGTGCAGGCAGAGTCTGCCACCAGAGCTCCATATGAACCTATGCAGAGAAGCCTTGCCTTCCAAATAATAGTACCAATGGAACAGAATTACAGTTAACTAATTGGTGTTTACTGGTTTGTGAATTTCCTCTGATTTATGGTTATCTTTGAGCAAAAATATGGCTAATCTGTTCTCATTTATAATCTATAAGGATCTAGAATCTCTTCTTCCCCATGTTTATAAGGTCACCTGACTAATGAGTAATTGTTACCAAAAGGTGAGCATCTGGCAGCAATCAAGTCTGTGTGTGAATGTAGAAGTAATTAACTCAGTGTAAATGCCTAGTCAAGAATTGTTTTTATTCATTTTTAATACAAAAGCTTTAAATTTGTATGTATCCATGGAATATCCTGTAATACATCATTATATGTATATATTGCATAATGTAATCTCAGTTAAGCACAATTGCAAAAGCCTCCAGAGAGTTGGCAAAGTGGCTCAGTGAGTACAGTGCTTGGTGTGTAAGCCTAAGGGCTTGAGTTCAGATCCCCCCAAACCCATGTAAAAGCCAGGTCCACAGTGGTGTCATCATCAGTGGTGGTTTGAATAAGAAACTCCCCAGAGACTCATATATTTGAACACTTAGTCACCATGGGTCGAGACTGTTTGAGAACGATTAGGTGGTATGTCCTTGTTGAAAGAGGTGTGTCACTGGGCTTTGAAGTATAAAAAGCCCACACTAGGCCTAGTGTCTCTCTCTCCCTCTGCCTGCTGCCTGTAGAT